TTTCCTGATTTATATAATTTGGGAATATTTTTATTACTTCCTAAAATTCCATCCCTCTGTTTTCCCCCCCACCCCCCCTTGGGAGTTGAGGAGAGTGAAGTGAGAGCAGAGGAGGTGAGAGAAGCCCTCAGAGGTGGGCAGGTTGGGGTTCCCTGCACTGGGCCATGATTAAGGTCAATCAGTTTTGCATTGGCCCAGGATGCAGCTCTAATGCTTGTGTGCTGAGCAAAAAGAGCTACCAGAGCATCCTTACTCCTAGTCCCTTCCAAAAAGTCCATTTCCTCCATTTAGTGCCTTCTTGCAACAACTGCTCTTGGCCACATCCCTCCTTGGTGTCACTGCTTTCTCCTGGAAGTAGCTTGGGAAGTTCTGTGAGGTTCTCCACTCCTTTTCACAGCTCTCCCAGCAGTTCTTCCATCCCTCTGATGCATTAAACCCTGCCTCTTTCTACCCTTGCTGCCCTGGGAGGTCTCTTGGGGATGAAGGTAGCACCAGGGTGTGCACAGGAGACCTGGAGCCAGCAGCTCTGTCCTTGCTGGGTGAGCTGCACCCTGGACATTTCCATCTTCTCTATCTTCAAGCAGAGCTGCCAAGGTGAGGGAAAATGAGGTGAGGGATTACTTTGGATGTGTGGGTGGTTGAGTTTCCATTCCTGGATGTGTTTAGGAGGCCTGTCAATGTGGGAGCATGAAAAGCATCGGGGTTGGTAGAGTGAGGTTAATGGTTGGTGGAGTTAGGATGAAGCTTCCAGGGATGGTGCATCTACCACCTCTCTGGGTACCTGGGCCAGTGTTTCACCCCCCTCCTGGTGAAAAATGTCTTCCTTACATCGTGTCTCCAACTCCCCTCATCCAGCTTAAAACCATCACCCCCTGTCCTGCTGCCACAGGCCCTGCTGAAAAGTCTGTCCCCATCTTTCTTAAGGACCCCTTTTAAGAACTGAAAAGGCCCCAGTGAGGTCTCCTTGGAGCCTTCTGCTCTCCAGGAGAGCACCAGCCATACCTGGCATCCCATGGGAAGTGTTTCTCCAGACCATGGAGGGGCCAGTCCCCTCTCTTCTCTGCACCAGGGTGGGTTTCTCTGCCCTACAAAAAAAACCCAAAAAACCCCCAAACATTGCCCTGAAATGAGCTGGTTCCCACCAACAGGGGTGAGGGGAGCAACGTGTCCATGAGAGATCTTCCCCCAGGGCCTTTGCTTTTCAATGAAATCCAACTTGGAAAGGAGTCAAGTGTCTTGGATAAACAGCCTGGAGTCAGGAGCACTCCAGACGTTCTGGAGGAAACGTGGGGGTGATTAAGAGGGGATTTTGCCTGGGTGGGTTCAGGCCTTTGGCCTCTCTGTGCTGCTCCCTGCCTGTTCCTTGCCTCCAGCTCCAAAACCACTCCAGGCTCTGATGTCAGCCCTGCATGTTCAGAGGAGTGTCCCTGACTCCTTAACCTCCCTCTGTGCCTTCACCTTCGGTGCCATCAGCAAAATCTGCCTTCCAGTGGGTTTCTTTGAAACCTCCTTCTTGGTGAAGTGCTGGGGAAGGTGTGGGTGAGGTTGCTTGGTGGGTGCCTGGGGCCAGCACAGCACATCTGGTGCTGTCTGCAGCTGGAAGGGACAGGGTCAGCTCTGGTTTCCATGGACCA